GGTACAAGAAAGACCAAATTTGAACCTTTATAATCTGAGTGGTGCTACAACTAAGTATACATGTTATAAATTCATTAACTGAGCAGCAAGTGAATTACGACAAATACACAAGTGTAGGGTTATACCAGAAAATGTGGATGACAACAAGGGAGTAGTAATTGTATCATCCACGCAATCCGAAATCCGCAAATGCTTTCACTCAGGGATACTTTTATTATTCAACTGTAACCATCAGGGGTATTTCCAAATAACGACATCCGATGAGCTTTCGCCGTTATTTGTCTGTTTGTTTAGGCTGAAGAAATTAATTACCATGCGCCCTTTGTTGAAATCTTCAAAGATCACGGGTAACCAATCAGTTTTCAAAAATGCGTAAGCTTATTTAGCTGTCCTTGCAGACCCAGTCTCTTGTCACGCTCGGTTGCGTCAATGAGCAAATTGACTCACGGCAGCTAGAAAGCCCAAGCGGAAATCCAAAGGTCGTATTACCTGAAGAATCAACCTTCATTTGCAAAATATCTACTGCTCTCAAAATTAAAGTCAGAACTTTCTAACCAAGGATTACCAGTTGAAACAGGTCGATGGCTGAACATTCCCAGGGAAGACAGCCAGTGTCAACTCTGTGAATCTATCGCTATGGGAGATGAATTGCATTATTTATTCCAATGTGAAGCTTTTCACCAACGGCGATATGAACTCTTAAATAAGCAATATCTGAAGTTTCCAAACATTTAAGTAAATTATGACCACTAACAGTGTAAGAAATCTAAAAGTCCTATCTAAATTCCTTAACAATGTGTACAATACAATTGGTAAATTGTATTAGTATCCACGTATCCTATTTTTTATTATTTTTGTTAAATTGTACATAATAAAAATTGTAGATAATTGTATGTCATGTTATTCTAAGAATAAATGAGTTTGAGTTTGAGTCCGACACCCGAGAAGAAGCCAGAGATTAGTGCCCCTTTTTGAATAGTTTACAATCATGTGTTTTAGGGTTAGCTGTGTTGGCTTAAACGTATTTTTATTTCAAAAGAAATCTGGATCGGTAAACAAGCTAAACTTGCTTATGTAATACCACTCCAGGTAACAACTTAACAACAGCTGGATATATATAAGAGAGTGATGAACATAAACATACAAAATGCACAAATGAAATACACGAAGCCAATACACTGAAGCAAGTGATGTCTGTGAAATAAGGTAATGCAGTTTTCCTTTACTACATGCATAAAATTAAGCTACTCAAACCTTTTGCTTTTGACAATGATGTCGTGAACTGATTTAAGAAGAGTCATGTTTGTAGAACTGCTTAACTACTGCCACGTAATATCATTTTTAGACCATACCCATGTGTGTAGAAATACACAGTGTTTCTGATATTATCGTATTTCTTGACAGTTATAGAAAAAGTGAATTGCATCTTCAAGGTGATATCCACAAGTGCAGTCTGGTATGTCTGATACATGTCGTCTAAACTTATCAGCGTTTAAGTCACTGCAGCCGAGCCTAAGGCGACAGTGGACAATGTGGCATGATCTATGAAAATATTTGAAGTCAAAATTATTAGTAATTGCATCAGAACGATTAATTAATGATTTGATTTCTTTTAATGAGCGAGCATTAGTTACTTCATCGGATAGAGGGTTCCGCAGGTTGATCATATCCAGAAGAAATTATTATTAAGCATAGGTCTGTGTTCTACATTTGATTGTGTGTATGTTGAATCTATTTCTAAGGTTATATTTGCTGTTATCAGAGAATTGAATATACACTTTTCAAATATTTTGGCTGAGCAACTTGTGAGTGCTACAGGTCTATAATTTGAGCATTCATGTTCATCGCTGACACTGACACCGCATCAGCCCGGCAGTGGACTTGACACAGTTATTTGCGCACCGATTATATAACTCCTACAGACAGGGTGGGGTGGTTGTTTAAAGCGAAACGGACGACCCTGTCTGTTATCTAATAAATGCTGTGCGGCGCCTTTGATCTTGCCTCAAAACATACACCTTATAGTAGTAAACGACGATCAGGATGGCCTGGAAATAAACACAATTCTGTCTGCCCAGTGTATCCACAATTAACTAGAATGCTTCATATCCACAAATATATATATAGAAAATAGATATTTGCCCACAGCAAATATTCATTTGCTTAATTGCATCAGTATGGTTTATCAGAACATGTACAATGCTTTCTTACGCTTGGTGAGGCAGACTGAAATTGAACATTAGGATAACGTCAGCAGGGATAAAAGAGGTCATACCAAAGAGCTTTAATTACTAGTTGAAAAGTCAGACATTCCGATCAACCACTACCAGGCCCGGCCGGATCTCAAGGTTGACCAGATCAACACCGCCAAACAAGGAGTCCCTTTCGTCATGGTGCACAAGAAGGGGGGACAGGACATCGAGTACGACATCACAAACTACACAGACTTGTACCACTTCTTCCAGAGTAGTGGCGTACCGACCTCAAACCACTTCGTCGCCAATACCGCCGCCCTCCTTCTAGCCAAACATGCTCGCCAGCCGACGCCGTGCATTCCCACGCTTGCCCCCCCACCCCCAGGCCCAAACTTTTCCATATTATTGAATATTCTTTTATCACCCACCCCCACCCAGCCAAACCCCAACCCCTTTAACTTTATTAGAATAGGCTGTAAACTTATATTATTATTATTTTTTTTGGGGGGGGGAGGTGCACTTCTTTATTTAATCATTACGCTTTTTTTACCCTAATAGTATAAGTGCTTCTTTGTGTGCGAGATAGGCTTAAGTCGGAAAGCGCACGTTAAATCTCCGAGGTACCTATCTACCAGAACTTTATTTGCTGTTCTGGTCATACATAAATATATGTAAGTTACGTACATGGGGAGGCTAGATTATTTACAACTAACAGCAATATAGTGCAAATATTATGTTCAATAAAAGAAAACGTTGATAGATCTATAACACACTTTTTGTACTATTAAACAAACTGTGGACTTTTAAGACATTTTCGCTTATTGTAATAACATCTAGCTAACAAATCATGTCTATCTCTGAAATCCACAAGCATAGTTGCTGTCGAACCTAAAAAACATATTCAGGGAGGTCAGTTTTGACTTGCCAAGCACCTTAAGGTGAGTTTATTTTTAAACTGTCAAAAGCGATTGTCCCTTCAATACTAGTATATGGCTGGAAGCTGTTTCTCGGACTGTTATGAGTTATGATGTATTTTATGATATTACTGGGGAATGTTCAAATTAGTTACTGTCATTTAATCCAACGTTCTAACTGTCGACTGTCTCAACAGGACCATAGGTTTGGTTATATATCTCCTCCCTGTCTCTATGTCTTAAGTTGTTAATCGGTAACTGCGGTCCAAATGTATGAACTTATTCATCTATTGTTGCAAACTTGACTGATTTAAACATATCTAATTGATCATGAACTACTCAGTCAGTCAAGCACCTGTATCAGAAATGTAAAACCAGCCATGTTTCATGTAGTCCCAATATCACTGAAAAATGCCGATGAAACGTGACATATAAATTTACTCACAGACAATATATTTTTCGTGAGAGTGAAGCACAATTTTATTAAAGTTTTATTAACAATTTCATAAACTATAATAATATTAATATTAAAATTCATCATCACTTGCCAAGTTTATGAACATGTCCCCATTTGGGAGATGTCACATATAAACAAGGATTCGAACTAAGTTTGATCGTCTTTGACACTGAGGTTTATCCCCACTTTGCCAGCAAACTGCAGAAGATTAACAGTGAGTGAGCATCGTTTCCATGTTTATACAAGAAAAGATGTTATGCCAAAAACGCTCACAGTAGTTAGTGAGTAAACTCACGACCTGTCATGACCTGGTTGAGTGACTTCCTCCAATCAACGTGAAAGGATTACCCACAGAGAAAGAAAGGATTAAAGTCACCCATAAATCTTATCCTAACGTAGTACTCCAACTTCTAAATGCCTCTCAAAGAAGGATTAAAATCCTAAATATATCCTATCTACGTGGTATAGGTACTCACAACCTCTAATAATAAACTGTTACGTTTGGTATCCCCAGCAATACTCATATGGTCATTGGGCAAATGTAAAAATCACAAACCCTAACGAGATTCTGTCTACATGGTCACACCCGGTGATTGTGAAGATCTCAAATTCTATCAACAGTCAGACAGCATGGTTGTTCATATTCATTTACAACATCCTCTTATAATTAGTATAAAAGTGTCCCACACAAAACCTTCTTTTATTTATTCTTTCAAAATACAAAACAGAAAGTGGGATGTGGGGAAATGGGACATATTCCTACGTAAAATAATGAGACATTAGTAGTGGTGACGGCTATATCATAATTGTACTGTCTAAAGCATAAATTTGGCGAACGAAAAACGTTATATTTGCAATCAAATGGAATGACTCGTGTGGGCAAATGAATATGTTCGCAAATCCACAAACAATCATTTTATTAATGGCGAACATTTACCAACCCGCGACAATCGTGTCAACACGGGGGTTCCCCTAGCAATAAACTCGCATCTAAATTCACTACTGTTCTACTGGCTAGACGGGACCCTAGTGGAATGGTTCATGCCATAAAAGTCTAACAACCGAACACTAATTAAGACGGGCCGACCTTGTATTTACGGTCTGGTGAACACAGCTCAATGGCCGCTCATTAACTCAAATTTCACATCTCACTGTTTTGTTTTATCTCACTATTCATTTGATAATTTTGTCAACTTCAACTGGAACCCGGTCCCGTGTTACACGCGTGGCACACGCGTGTGCAACGGGTTGCACACGCGCTGCACACCCGTTGCACACCCGTGTGCAACGGGTGCTCACCCCGTGTGCAACCCGTTGAGCACCCGTGTCACATGCGTGTTACACGCGTTCTCAACGCGTGTTAGGGGAATGAACTTTTAGGCAGTAGTGTATGCCCAAAGACGGGCATTGCTTACATTCCTATGCATACGTATATTTACAACATGCGCCTGCAGTTGTGTTTTAACAAACACCCAGTAGTGCATTTCTTTTCTCATTCGCACTTGGACATTGGACTGAAGATGAAATGTGCCTAAAATAGTTTTTGATAAACTCCGGGCGGTTATCGTGTAGTCAAGACAGAGTCAGGGCTGTGTCGTGCATCACAGTACATACATCAACATGGATGAAGCGAACAGCGAACTCGGGGTAGTGACTGTAAGTTAATACAATGAAACACTTTCGTCTCACTATAATGTTGCTGAAAAGGATCTTATTGACCTGACGCAAGTAGACATGAATGCCGTCTCTAGCCTAAAGGTACATGGCATAAAGGCCCGGTAATCTTAAGTGGCAAGGTGGAGACGCTTCTGTCAAGATGGATTTATGAATGTTTGGTTACTCTCATTTTATAGCATGTTTGTCACCATTGAAGTTTATTTGAAAGTTAGACTCACGTTGTTACAGAGACGAAACGTACAGATCATGGGAATGAAATAATAATGCTAATTTATTACAGGATTAAGATGTACTTCAAAATCATGTTTATGAAGCTATTTGCTGCATCTTACTGTTGCTGATAATTAACTGCCATTATTTAACCCTTCATGTGGTGATCCTATGTCGTTTATTCTTCCCCGCCCTGAAGGTTTTTAAAAGAGCTAAAAATGTTTAGGGGAAATATAAATCTCATTTCGTTAAAGTTAACCGGTCTATATTTTGTAAGAATAAACTATTGCGCATTGAGCGATTATCTCCTTTAGCTATAAGGCGTAGTTTAGGGCTTTATCACGCACTAACCTTACAATGCTGTACATCGTATCTTATTCAACCTGTATCACTGAGAGTGAGTGATTATCTCCCTTACCCGAACAGCTCTATTGCGCACTACCTTTGCAGTGTATCGTATGTTATTAAGGCCTGTCACGCGCACTCAATCTTTCAACTTCACATTGCTGTTGCAACATATTGTTCAACACGATTAAATACCAGGCTTTTATAAAGTATGACTTTATTCAATAAACAACACATGTAAAACAACGAGTTTGATATGAGAAATTTGTAATTAGTTGTCTTCATAATCATATGTATGACCCTTGCTGGGCATAGTTGAGCACAATATTGTTATGAATGCATGAAGTGATGCAGGTCTCAGATGTTTACCACTTCAGTGAAACCCACGAGCACGGGTATGGTGCTGACAAACCTAGAAACATAATCGGGGCGAACCAGGATTCGAACCCACAATCATAGGTTTCTGACGTGCCCAAGGGACGCAACTCTGCACAGCGAATCGCGGCGCCTTAGACGACTGGGCCACCCGTGTCCCCGTACACAAATGTATAAGAAACTATCATACAACAAAGATGTTTTAGATGAGATATATATTGCGGAACATTCCATGAAGAAACAGTGGCATTATTACACTATCACAAACTACAAAATACATGCACAATAAACGACAAGTTAAAAACACAGGTACATTCAACTTACAAAGGAGGTACATTAGAACAATTTTATTTCAAAACAAGTGTAATAATTTTAGTTTTGTGATTACGTAAACGAAGTTTTGAGAAAAGTGACCTATCACCTTTGTTTTTAGACAATGTAAGTCTCAATATTTATAGATGACTTGACCAAACTGTGTGTTCTTAACTTGGGAACCCCTCTTAACTTGCTGCCAGATCAATGGGATCATTTGAACTGAAGTTAATTTACAGTGGATTCATTACACCTTTTTTTGTTTACTATTTAAAAAGTTTGTTTTATTAAACCCAAACAACATTTTGACCAGGAATATTGATATTTGCTGCAAAAGCATGTTTAAGAATGACATTTGTTGTGTTATCTATATAGGACCTGTGATCAATTAATATTTTTATGGGTACTAATAGTGGGTATATATCAAGTACTGCCTGACATGCCCAGTTTTCTTGCCTGGGTTTCCTTTTGCTGACCATTTAAAGACACTGTTTCTTTTATTGTGCATTCCAAAGATACATTAATAACAACCAATTTGTGCTTTACACTAATTCTCTCCTCCCATAGCTTACACGTCTTTCCTCTGCACAGAACATTATATTGCGGGGAACAATCTCTACTTGTTTACTCAAGGACTAATTTTACGCACATCCATGTAAAACATCCACGTTAATAGAATTGAAGTAAAATGATCAGTAATTTGTCAGCGAATTTGCATCAAGGATGTAGTATTTTAAACCAAGTGCTGTTGAGGCAAGTTTTATGGCTCAGTCACAGGTGCTCAAATTATAGACTGATCCGAATGGACAAGCGTTCTGACTTCTATTTGGTTCTATGCAGGAATGTTTATGTTACATCGTGGTGACCCGTGAAGATTCGAGTTAGAATTGGTCTCCAGCAATCCATGCGTGTGGTAAGGGGCGACTAACGGGATCGGCGTGGTCAGGCTTACTGACTTGGTTGATGCTTGTCATAGCGTTTCCCAATTGCGTAGATCGATGTCCATGATACAAGTCACTTGATCGTCTGTTTTAGAATCGATTATTTACATACCCCTGGAATATTGCTGAGTGCGGCGTTAACCAACAAACAACATCATGGTTCGACCCGTCACAGTCTTGTGTGGTAAAATACATGTGTAAAAATAAAGTTGGTTGGATTGTTGTTACAAGCCGCACTCAGTAACATTCCATCTAGATGACGGCGGTCTGTAAATAATCTTGTCTGGACCAGACAATCCAGTTATTTATATGAGCATCGATCCACGCACTTGGGGCCAATGACATGCTTCAAGCCAAGTCAGCAAGCCTGACCACCCGATCCCGTTAGTCGCCTCGAACGACAAGCATAGTCACCTTTTACGGCAAGCATGGGTTGCTGAATACCTATTAGAGAGTACCAGTCACTTTCAAGCTTCTCTCCCATACAGCTTCAAAGAAACGTTCACCGTGTGCATACCATACTTATTGATGAAATAAGTATGGTAGGTGATCAAGTGTGTACAGTGATAAATCGCAGATTGATTGGCTTTACTGGTGTTAAACATGTGTTTGGTGGCTCAAATGTCATTTTTGTTTAAGGTTTCTTGTAAATACTCCCTGTTCTTAATAGCTTTGTTTTGATTATTCAATCTAGTGGCAACTGTCCCAAGAAATATGCCTAATTGCTCAACAGGGCATGTGTTGGTTTCGACCGCTGATATTCATTTTACTAACTTAAATCACGACTTTGCTCATTTGCTAGAATTCTAGTCAGCTTTGCACATTTTTCCACACAGACAATGGTTTTAGAATCTGTAATTAAACATGTCAAAAGAACACAGTGCAGTATATTCAAGCTTCAACTTCTCCCGTTTAATTTGTCATGCATTACATTTTAATTCCTAACCTCGGTAACAGGATCATTATGCATTTTTCTGGGTCATCGCATATGGCAGGGAACTTTGATGCTCTGCATCTATGGTTTCTTGTCATTGCTACGACGGTATAAAGTAACAGAGTGGAGATGCCTCTGACTACATGGATCTATGAATGCTTGACAAATTAATAATTTGCTTCCCAGTACATTTTATCTAAAAACAAGTGACTTTAAAAACAATAATCCTTACTTTAATGTTTACATTGGTATTGCTTTTGACACCTTTTTTATAATGTTTGAAGATTCCTAATATTGAACTTGCATATGAGCTAGCATATAAACTGGCACCCGTGTCCTAGCTATCTGGTAATAGATCAAACTTTTTCAGTGGACAACACATTGTTACTGTCATAACCATATAATTTTATATTTCCTAGTTTTTGTTTTAAAGTTGTCTTGCTTTTCTTTTTCGGACATGATTTTATTCATCAAGAAGTGCTTTGACTTTCCCTTCATGATTGAGGTAACTCTAGGCGTGAGGCTTTCATTTTTCAAGTTGTCTTGGATTGTGCACATCGAGAATGATGTCATAAAATCGAAGTGTGCTTATTTGAGGGTAGTAACTGCATTTGTTAAATTAAACCCGAGTCATGATACATGTTTCTGGTGAAGTGGCCTATTGGTATAAAATGTACCTCTCTTTTCCTTAATGTTGACTTATCATTGATCACTGCTCATAATGGAAACATTTTGTAATCTTAACAAATATATATTAACCATCCTACAACTGTTTCTTAGATCGATGGAACTACGTTTGACTCGGATTCCAGTGGACAGGACATCGTTACAGTAACAGATCGAAGTGGCCACACCTTAAAGTTTCAACTATTCCAAGGAGTACATTATATACCTTTGTATAATGTCGCTACACTTCAACAAATCAAAGGTTTCAAAATGAGGCCAGATGACATTTACTTCAGCGGATATCCTCGAACAGGTAAATTCTAAACGTCATCACCAGAAAATAACCTCTGAAACCAGGTGTTCATCGGAAGAGCACTGGTAGCGACCACCATTCATTCCATAACAAGTAGGAGTTTGACTCTTGCCTAATGCTGCATCCAGCAGTTCATCCTGCAATACGACGGCGGCAGGTAAACAATAACCAGACTTTCTTGTGATCTCTGTCATCTTGGGATAGGAAAGCATCGCACATACATGTAGCGGTAATGACCAACGTGTCATATTTTGTAAATTCATCTGAGTTCTACACATGAAATTTTTGGAATGACTTGACCAGAACATTGATAGTATTTATCTTGATTAGAAACCTTATCTGTAAGTAAAATGTGTCTTTCCATGAAAGTTAGACAATATGAACATACTCTTAAGTAAATAGGGATACTCCATCTACAGATATCTTGCTGCATATCTATCCACTCTCAATAAACACGTCAGCACATACCACACTACGTCCGAATCAGTTAATTTATCTTAAAGAGCTTAATCACTTAGGCAATAAACCAACTGTGTTTTAAGTTTTGAGGTTTCAAACGTAGAAGCGATACCTGTAGCTTTAATTCGAAACCGAACGGAAAAAGTTTTACGCATAAGATATATTTAAACGTATATGAACCAACATCAATTTGATATTGTCCGACGGGTGGATATGTGAAATAAGTTCTTCGAAATCAGGAGTCTACAATTACATGACATAAGTAACATTCAATCATTCATCCACGAATTTTAACAGGATTTGACATGTTATTCTTCTTTCTGAAGGGACAAACTGGACATTCGAAATGACAAGCATGCTTCTTAATGGTAAAGCTGAAACCATCCAAAGAGCCAAGGATCTCATGGAGTTATCTCAGCCTGACAAACTAGCCCAGCTGCTATCACCACGCATCGTCAACTCTCATATGAAGCTGTGCGACTCTCCAGATGATGTGGCAGCTCTTAAGTGCAAAGTAATCTACACCTTGCGAGACCCAAAGGATGTTATCGTCTCTCTGTACAATCTCCTTTATGACAGGCCCTGGTCCTATGGTAGATATCAGGGGTCACTTGAGGATTATCTTCACCTCTTCTTGGACGGAACAGGTCTGAAACTTTCTCCACCCTTCAAACTGTAGCTAGTTAAAAAATTAATTCATTAATCATGAAAGATGTGTGTTAGTACCAGTTTTCCCTGTTCATAGCAAACAATATAAATTTCGTATGTGTTGACAACACAACTCCACATCCAGATTTAGTGATTTAGGTTCTTTGTTGGAAAAAATGTTTGAAGCCTTATTTTGGTGTCCCCACCCTGATATTGTTAGAAGATTGCTAAATGCGGCTTAAACATTAATGCATACACGCGAGAAACAGTTTTAGTTGTGACAACAAAAACACATATATTAATTGAATTTTTTTGTTATGACAAATATTCCAAGGCAACATTATATACGTAGCAAATACCAACACTCAATTATCTCACTCTTATTATCTTAGTTGTTGTTGCTATTTCCATAACCTTGTGTTTAGAAAGGGTTTTGGGTTATGTTTCAGTGGAAGTTAATGGCATATTTGAACACTGGAGAGACGCCGAGAAATATTTTAGTCAGCATCCCGAAATTCCAGTTCACTTGCAAAGTTATGAAGACGCCATCAAGGTTCGGGGCTTCGTTTCAAAAATGATCCGAGCACTGCGATTGTCGTAACTTCCATACTTTAACAATGCGCTAAGATTGCTGTGTGAAATATGACTGGGAATGAAATTATATACATTTTCATTTGTTCCATGCTATTGTATTTTCCATACATACATGTAAGGAATACCATTTTACTGTTGCCCTCAGTAGCGAACTAGTAACTTGACTACCAACATATGAAGCACAGGATACAAAAAGGACATATATGGAGATGCTTGAAAGCTGACAGACATTTGCACATTTGTGAATCTATGTATATGTATGGTTTATTCTTTGTTTTCTTAGGATCCTGTACGTGCTGTTCAAACTCTGTCCGACTTCCTTGGGCTTCCTAGAGATGACGATCTGTGCCGAGCCATTGCAGAGAAGTGCAACTTTTCCGGAATGAAAATCGACAAGGAGCCTTTCACAATAAAAATAGATGGTGAAAACTGTTTGTACAGAAAAGGTAATTTCGTTAACAGTTGCTGCCCTAACCAAACTAAGTTTTCCTGGGTGATTGATTTCAATCCCTTCAACACTCATTTGCTGAACGTAATCATTCACAAAAGGATATTTTAAATAAGAACTGAATGAAGAAGGTCCTTCAAGGTATAATGACTGCATGCGTGTTCGTATGTCCCCCTTGTATCAAACGACTACTTATCAGAATGTATGTAACTATACTGAAGAACATAACCGACATTGTGTTTCTCAGGAATCGTTGGTGACTGGAAGAACTGGTTCAACGACCAGATGTTGGAGGACTACTACAGAGTCTACGAAGAAAAGATGGCGGGGTCCAGATTCTATGATACTTATGCCAGGAGTAAATACTAGCATGTCCACACGTAAATGTTTCTGTTGGAATGGTCATTATCCACACTAATCAGAGACGCATTAAGCACTAAGCCTAACCTGCATCACTGCTCTAAATGGAGACATAATTCAGAGTGTTATGTCTTTTTGAACTTATTTCATAATGTAAACAATGTGTCGTCAGATTCAATTATAGACAGACTGAACTGATAAAGCTATTGTATTAACCCTACATGTCACAATCATTTTATTACCTAGAGTTAATTATACAGAATGTTTGTTATAATATTTCAGTAACAAATGGAAATCTAAAGTCCAAACAGTTTGCCTTTACATATCCATACATCATTTGCTTGGATAAATGAACTGACTTATTTGTAATAATAAATTCATTTTAAGGTCCTTAAAAGTCTTACTGTCTTTTTAAAAGATGTGGCAGTTGATAACCAGTGCACGTGGATATCATTATCAACGAAGGGGGTCAACGAATAATAGTTTGAACAATCGCTAGAGGCACTTTTGTTTGTGAATTCGTTCTCCATTTGTGTGAGTGATATTGACTGTATACATCTAGTGAGGACATGTTGGCGCCTTGTCATTCATGTATGTTCGAACTAAGGTCAAGGTTACATTAATATGGGTCAACAGTCAATTCGATGAGTTTTGTTTGTTTGTTGTTCGGAATCAGCAGGAATCAAGCAAAACAACCTGGAATGAAGTATTCTCAAAATTCGTGCCACATTCGGGAGGGAATTTCAAACTGACCAAGCTTTGTAAGAATTCCGTTCGAATACTTAGAATGCAATTCGAAACCGCCTCAAATGATTCTTGCACATTTCTGGTGTATTAGCTCTCGAATGCAGCTCGAATATTTAGAATGCTGTTGGAATGAAGGCAGAATATTTAGAATGCACTTCGAATGCCATACGAGTGCGGTGCAATTACTGCCTCAATACCACCCGAAGTCTGGTTGGAAGGTGCCTCGATTGCTGTACAAATTCACCTCGAATGCAGTCAGAACGCTCCCGGAAGAAACAGGAGAAGACTCAGAAGGTATCAGACCCGACCATGGCTGGCAGAGGAGAGGAGGAGGCTGTATAGTCCTTACTATACACAGCTCAGAGTAGAAGACCCACAGTCCTTCAACTACCTGCGGATTAAGCCTGCAAAGATGACAGAAAATATATACTTGTCCCATAGTACAGTACAATACATACTGCCAAATAGAAGCGCGGTGTTCATGAGTGAGTGAGTGAGTATGGTTTTACGCCGCTTTTAGCAATATTCCAGCAATATCACGGCGGGGGACACCAGAAATGGGCTTCACATATTGTACCCATGTCGGGAATCGAACCCGGGTCTTCGGCGTGACGAGCGAACGCTTTAACCACTAGGCTACCCGACCGCCCCCTGTGTTCATGAATAATGTACTAAAATATGTGTTGTACATATGTATTACAGGTGACAATCATTGTATATCAAGACGAAAATAATATGGTGCACACGAATAGAAAATCCTGTGTACAGTGAAACCTCGTTTGTAAGGATCCTGTTCGTCTGGACACCCCGATTTGTAGACGATTACTGGTTGGAAAATTGGAAAATAGAAATAATTGAAGCCATTCCAGGAGAGTGAGAGAGTAGTTTCATGTTGGGAATGGCATCAGGTCTGTGGCGTGACGTCCCATTATTTGAACTATGATATATACTTCCATATACTTACCAGATACAGCGGTGTAAACACTATATCTGACCCGACCATCTTGACCCCTGTCCTTGTCAGTAGCAAAAAATGTTGCCACCACGGTGCCTGGTTTGATGTCCTCGGACAAGGATTGGACAGGGAACTGACCAGTGTTGTTGTCCAGGGAGGGTGAATTCCAAATCGGTGCATACTCGTTCCGCGGAAGAACCTGCAAGTACTGAAGGACGTCAGTCAATGGACACTGCCTGTTGAAGTCACCACACGTAACATATTCTTAAAAAAGACCCCACTGGCGCCTGTCTGAACGCGTAACAACAGTAGGCATTGCCTTTTTATATGAATATATGCTGAAAACCTGACGAGAATCAATGTCCTTAATGTATACCTTGTGAACATAATTTTACAGCGAATGTATTTGTTACGATTCCAATGGATTCTCATCGCAAGTCAGCAAATGTATAGCCTCCTTTTACCCAGGTAAGCAACAAATAATTTCAGGTATTTGAACGGTCATCTGTCCCCTCACTTAACCCTTATTGTGACCTGTATGCCACGAACATGACTTTTCAAGCTGCAATTTGTCACTGTTCAGTCGTTTCTTTTCTTTTAACTCTATACAACACATTCGCATCTGCATAAAAACCGAGTTGCTTTGATTAGTGTGCCAAGTATCCGCTGTCCGTGGGTTCGAATCCCAAATCGACCCCAGTATGATCCCTTGTTATTCTGCACCATATCTGATTTAATGGTTTTCCACGCCACATGCTAACAAATATGATGAAATTTGTAAATATATAACATCAACGCCAGAGAATAACCGGCCTTGGTTATCCCCGATCACAGAATCCGCTGGGCGTAAAAAGCAAAACAGCGTTAGAATGTATATTCGGGTTCATTATCAAAATGTGTAGCCCATTTGGTCCTCTTGAGTGAGTGAGTGAGTTTGGTTTTACGCCGCTGTTAGCAATATTCCAGCAATATCACAGAAATGGGCTTCACACATTGTACCCTTGTTTGGAATGGGAATCGAACCCTGGTCTTCGGCGTGACGAGCTAACGCTTTAACCACTAGGCTACCCGACCGCCGCTTGGTCCTCTTGAATAAACAAAAGTCAAAACTGACTAAACAACATCAGGCAACACTCGACATTGCTGTAACATGAACCCCTCAGCATGGATTGTCTCAAAATAGCACTGAATCTTAGTCTTGTCACTGCTATAAGCGTTCTGTCGTTAGTTAAAATAAAATAAAGTACTCAAATATATGAAAGTTGTTTGAAAACTTGAATATTTGTCTTCTCTTAATTGTTGGAATAATTTCAGCGCAAATTTGACACGCGAAGGCTGTAGCCATAGCAGCACGTTTTCGGAACTGAGTCTTGACCATAGCACAGTAAAGGCGGCTTACAAGGTCCTGGGTGAAAAGAAGACTTGATATTGGCTATAGTCTCTTTTGCCTCTGGTAGATGATATCACGCTTAACGAATATATTGGAACGACCAAAAACAAAGAGTAGAGGAAATGCATGCGCTAAATTCAACACGTCATAATCAAAGAAAAATAAACGCATTAAAATGACAGAACCGTTGCATTTATGACATAAATAACACTGTAATTCACACTAATTTCAATGCAATTGCCACACAGCAACTCGCTAGAAAACTCGCCGTGACCACCAGTATGACGTTTGCCGTCCTCATAGCCTCGTTCTGAGAGTTGTCTGACACGGCCAGATTGAGGAAGAAGGTGGGGTCATCATGGCTTAACGTTTCGGTAGTTGATGGTAACCATTGTCACTTCGTTGTCACTGGTGCGGAACAGATTATCTGTGTCCCCTTCCTAATTGCGGGGTTATCTCCCCATTACCCTGTGCAACGTACATTCATGTGCGACGTTGTTGACAATATCCGGATACCGCCAATGTTGAGGTGCAGACAGTGTTGTTATGCGATAACATTACAGTCGAATGTCGATCTGTTATCAGGTCCTTGAGAACTGGCGACAACGAAAGTTAGAAAGAAAGTTGACAGTTGACACACAACATTCAGCTGACATTTATTAACACATATCCCATGAACTATATAATACTCATCGCAAATATATAAAAATAACAAATATAAGCGACACAAAAATCCATCCATGATCATGAGAAACATCTACTAAAAGCAGAGTCCATTGAACAATTTCTACCATGTCATACGCATGTGTTCAAGAATCACCCGTCACAAACACACGCAGGCCACTTCTTCACCTGACAAGATACGAGTACAAATACACGGTACAAGGAAATACGGGAATTACACCGTACGTCATTTTGGTCACTGATGCGTAAATAGGTAATTCCGCAACACATAATAGCGGTTCTCGTTCATGGATCCATGTATACTCATTGTACATCACATTGCCCTCCGAGTAGTGTATTTCTTTTCTCATTTGTCCTTGGACATTGGACTGAAGGTGAAATGTGCCTAAAATAGTTTTTGATACACTTCGGGCTCCAACGAAGATGTATAATTCAAATGTCGATGTTGCGCTATTGATAGTCACTTCGTATTCATTATTTTGTTCATATTTTGTTTTTGTGTCACAATTCTTTGAAGCAAACATTCAATACTTTACGAATGCCCGCTTGCATCTGGAAGGACCAACTCACCTGATAGACCTGGTGTACATGTCATCACTGTAACTTGTGATACTCATTGAATATAAACATAACACAAAGCAGCAACGAAATAATCAGGAAATGTGATTCGTCATGTTAAATATTGTCAATTTCAAACGTCTGAACCTTATGCATAGGGAAAATGAGAAGTATCACTTTATCAGGAAGTATACGGTAACTCTAAAACCCTTCAACCTTTCGCAATAATGTGGTAATCGTGAAGTCAAGACAGGGTCAGGGCTGTGACGATCGTACATGGGCGTGCATCGCAGTACATACATCAACATGGATGAAGCGAACAGCGAACTCGGGGTAGTGACTGTAAGTTAATACAATGAAACGCTTTCGTCTCACTATAATGTTGCTAAAAAAAGGATCTTATTGACCTGACGCAAGTAGACATGAATGCCGTCTCTAGTCTAAAGGTACATGGCATAAAGGCCCGGTAATCTTAAGTGGCAAGGTGGAGACGCTTCTGTCAAGATTGATTTATGAATGTTTGGTTACTCTCATCTTATAGCATGTTTGTCACCATTGAAGTTTATTTGAAAGTTAAACTCACGTTGTTACAGAGACGAAACGTACAGATCATCTTGAAATGAAAATGCTAATTTATTACAGAATTAAGATATACTTCAAAATCATGTTTATGAAGCTAATTGCTGCATCTTACTGTTTCTGATAATTAACTGCTATTATTTAACCCTTCATGTAGTTATCTTATGTTGTTTATTCTTCCCCGCCCTAAAGGCGGGGAAGTATACCGGGAACGGTTAATTTTGTAGCATGTATGTCGACATGTTGGTTTATTTGAAATTTCAAGCCACGCATTTACCGAAACGAAACATACAAGTCATGTGCGTGGAATGTAGATGCTATTCTTTTCCAACATTAAGAGATACTTCAAAATCGTCTTGCTCTTCTGAGACTTAGTCACGTTTCGTAATGCAGGTAACCCATGAAATTTGTTCATTTTGTTTTCAAAAGAGCTAAAAATGTTTAGGGGAAATATATATCTCATTTCGCTAAAGTTAACCGGTCTATATTTTGTAAGAATAAACTATTGCGCATTGAGCGATTATCTCCTTTAGCTATTAGGCGTAGTTTAGAGCTTTATCATGCACTGACCTTACAATGCTGTACATCGTATCTTATTCAAGCTGTATCCCTGAGAGTGAGTGATTATCTCCCTTACCCGAACAGCTCTATAGCGCACTACCTTTGCAGTGTATCGTATGTTATTCAGGTAGCCATCGAGAAAGGTTCAAGGGAGGAATTTAGGTCAAACCTGTCACGCGCACTCAATGTTTCAACTTTACATTGCTGTTGCAACATATTGTTCAACACGATTAAATACCAGGCTTTTATAAAGTATGACTTTGTTCAATAAACAACACATGTAAAACAACGGGTTTGATATGAGAAATTTGTAATTAGTTGTCTTCATAATCACATGTATGACGCTTGCTGGGCATAGTTGAGCACAGTATTGTTTCAAATACTTCACTGCATGTAATGTATGATTCATACCGTTTCATGCGGCAGTTTACGGTTCTGTGTGGTTTATTGCCTTGACAGTTATTTTTTAACTTACGGCAGAGATTATACACCCGTATATGTTCTTTGCTTCTGGATACATAGTAATCAACAGGTTGGTCTGTAGTTTGCAATTATTTCCCTTAAAGATAATACGGTTGCATGATATCTTCACGATGTTTGGGTTGAACATAGTAACTTTCTTACTAGTAACCCAGTTCACCAAATGGAACCGTACACAAGAGTGATTGGGGGAGTTGGGTTTTATGCCGTTGAATAGTATTCCGTGTCAGCTTGATGTGGGAGGAAACCCCGAAGTGAGTGAGTGAGTTGGGTTTAACGCCACTTTTAACAGTATTCTAGTATCACGGCGTGTCAACTTAATGTGGGAGGAATGCCTGAAGTGATGCAGGTCTCAGATGTTTACCACTTCAGTGAAACCCACGAGCACGGGTATGGTGCTGACAAACCTGGAAACATAATCGGGGCGAACCAGGATTCGAACCCACAATCATAGGTTTCTGGCGTGCCCAAGGGACGCAACTCTGCACAGCGAATCGCGGCGCCTTAGACGACTGGGCCACCCGTGTCCCCGTACACAAATGTATAAGAAACTATCATACAACAAAGATGTTTTAGATGAGATATATATTGCGGAACATTCCATGAAGAAACAGTGGCAATATTACACTATCACAAACTTCAAAATACATGCACAATAAACGACAACTAAAAAACACGGGTACATTCAACTTACAAAGGAGGTACATTATAACCATTTTATTTCAAAACAAGCGTATTAATTTTAGTTTTGTGATTACGTAAACGAAGTTTTGAGAAAAGTGACCTATGACCTTCGTTTTTAGACAATGTAAGATAAGTCTCAATATTTATAGATGACTTGACCAAACTGTGTGTTCTTAACTTGGGAACCCCTTGATGAATGCGCGAATTTTTACATTTGAACTGAAGTTTATTTACAGTGGATTCATTACACCTTTTTTTGTTTACTATTTAAAAAGTTTGTTTTATTAAACCCGAAAACCATTTTGACCAGAAATATTGATATTTGCTGCAAAAGCATGTTTAAGAATGACATTTGTTGTGTTATATATATAGGACTTATTTTTTTTATTGGTACTAATAGTGGGTATATATCAAGTACTGCCTGACATGCCCAGTTTTCTTGCCTGGGTTTTCCTTTTGCTGATCATTTAAAGACACTGTTTCTTTTATTGTGCATTCCAAAGATAACTACATTAATAACAACCAATTTGTACTTTACACTAATTCTCTCCTCCCATAGCTTACACGTCCTTCCTCTGCACATAACATTATATTGCGGGGAACAATTGATGCTCTGCAGCAATCTCTACTTGTTTACTCAAGGACTAATTTTACGCACATCCATGTAAAACATCCACGTTAATAGCTAACAAAGTTGAAGTAAAATGATTAGTTATTTGTCAGCGAATTTGCATCAAGAATGTAGTATTTTAAACCAAGTGCTGTTTATGCAAGTTTTATGGCTCAGTCACAGGCGCTCAAATATAGACTGATCCGAATGGACAAGCGTTCTGACTTCTATTTGGTACTATGCATGAATTTCTATGTTGCATCGTGGTCACCCGTGAAGATTCGAATTAGAATGGGTCTTCAGCAATCTATGCGTGTGGTAAGGGGCGACTAACGGGATCGGCGTGGTCAGGCTTACTGACTTGGTTGATGCTTGTCATTGCGTTTCCCAATTGCGTAGATCGATGTCCATGATACAAGTCACTGGATCGTCTGTTTTAGACTCGATTATTTACATACCCCTGGAATATTGCTGAGTGCGGCGTTAACCAACAAACAACATCATGGTTCGACCCGTCACAGTCTTGTGTGGTAAAATACATGTGTAAAAATAAAGTTGGTTGGATTGTTGTTTAACGCCGCACTCAGTAATATTCGATCTATATGACGGCTGTATGTAAATAATCGCGTCTGGACCAGACAATCCAGTGATTTATATGAGCATCGATCCACGCAATTGGGGCCGATGACATGCATCAACCAAGTCAGCAAGCCTGACCACCCGATCCCGTTAGACGCCTCGAACGACAAGCATAGTCACCTTTTACGGCAAGTATGGGTTGCTGAATACCTATAAGAGAGTACCAGTCACTTTCAAGCTTCTCTCCCATACAGCTTCAAAGAAACGTTCACCGTGTGCATACCATACTTATTGATGAAATAAGTATGGTAGGTGATCAAGTGTGTACAGTGATAAATCGCAGATTGATTGGCGTTACTGGTGTTAAACATGTTTTTGGTGGCTCAAATGCCATTGTTGTTTCAGGTTTCTTGTGAATACTCCTTATTCTTAATAGCTTTGTTTTGATTATTCAATCTAGTGGATACTGTCCCAAGAAATATGCCTAATTGCTCAACAGAGCATGTGTTGGTTTCTTGACCGCTGATGATATTCATTTTACTAACTTAAATCACGACTTAATTTTGCTCATTTGCTAGAATTCTAGTCAGCTTTGCACATTTTTCCACACAGACAAAGGTTTTAGAATCTGTAATTAAACATGTCAAAAGAACACAGTGCAGTATATTCAAGCTTCAATTTCTCCCGTTTAATTTGTCATGCGTTACATTTTAATTCCTAACCTCGGTAACAGGATCATTATGCATTTTTCTGGGTCATCACATATGGCAGGGAAGTTTGATGCTCTGCATCTATGGTTTCTTGTCATTGCTACGACCGTGTAAAGTAACAGAGTGGAGAAGCCTCTGACTACATGGATCTATGAATGCTTGACAAATTAATAATTTGCTTCCCATTTCATTTTTTCTGAAACTCTCCATCTAAAAACAAGTGACTTTAAAAACAATAATCCTTACTTTAATGTTTACATTGGTATTCCTTTTGACACCTATTTTATAATGTTTGAAGATTCCTAATATTGAACTTGCATATGAGCTAGCATATAAACTGGCACCTGTGTCCTATCTGTCAATAGATCACACTTTTTCAGTGGACAACACATTGTTACTGTCATAAGCATATAATTTTATATTTCCTACTTTTTGTTTTAAAGTTGTCTTGCTTGTCTTTTTCGGACATGATTTTATTCACCAAGAAGTGCTTTGACTTTCACTTCATGATTGAGGAAACTCCAGGCGTGAGGCTTTCATTTTTCAAGTTGTCTTGCATTGTACACATCGAGAATGATGTCATAAAACTGTAATGTGCTTATTTGAGGGTAGTCACTGCATTTGGTAAATTAAAACCGAGTCATGATACATGTTTCTGGTGAAGTGGCCTATTTGGTAAAAAAATGTACCTATCTTCCATTAAAGTTGAATAATCATTTTATCACTGCTTATACTGGAAACATTTTGGTAAATTAAAACCGATTCATGATACATGTTTCTGGTGAAGTGGCCTATTGGTAAAAAATGTACCTCTCTTTCATTAATGTTGAATAATCATTAATCACTGCTCATTATGGAAACATTTTGTAACCTTAACAAATATGTATTAACCATCCTACAACTGTTACTTAGGTCGATGGGAAGAAGCTTGACTCGGATTCCAGTGGACAGGACATCGTTACAGTAACAGATCGAAGTGGCCACACCTTAAAGTTTCAACTATTCCAAGGAGTACATTATATACCTTTGTTTAAAGTCGCTATACTTCAACAAATCAAAGGTCTCAAAATGAGACCAGATGACATATACTTCAGCGGATATCCTCGAACAGGTAAAATCTAAACGTCATCACCAGAAAATAACCTCTGAAACCAGGTGGTCATCGGAAGAGCACTGGTAGCGACCACCATTCATTCCATAAAAGTAGGAGTTTGACTCGTGCCTAACGCTGCATCCAGCAGTTCATCCTGCAATACGACGGCGGCAGGTAAACAATGATTAAACTTTCTGGTGATCTCTGTCATCGTTGGATAGGAAAGCATCGCACATACATGTAGCGTTAATGACCAACGTGTCATATTTTGTAAATTCATTTGAGTGCTACACATGAAAGTTTTGGAATGACTTGACCAGAACTTTGATGGTATTTATCTTGATTAGAAACCTTATCTGTAAGTAAAATGTGTCTTTCCATGAAAGTTAGACAATATGAACATACTCTTAAGTAAATAGGGATACTCCATCTACAGAAATCTTGCTGCATATCTATCCACTCTCAATAAACACGTCAGCACATACTACACTACGTCCGAATCAGTTAATTTATCTTAAAGTGCTTAATCATTTAGGCAATAAACCAACTGTGTTTTAAGTTTTGAGGTTTCAAACGTAGAAGCGGTACCTGTAGCTTTAATTCGAAACCGAACGGAAAAAGTTTTACGCATAAGATATATGAACCAACATCAATTTGATATTGCCCACCGGGTGGATATGTGAAATAAGTTCTTCAAAATCAGGAGTCTACAATTTCATGACATAAGTAACATTCAATCATTCATGCAAGGATTTTAACAGAATTTGACATGTTATTCTTCCTTTCGGAAGGGACAAACTGGACATTCGAAATGACAAGCATGCTTCTTAATGGTAAAGCTGAAACCATCCAAAGAGCCAAGGATCTCATGGAGTTATCTCAGCCTGACAAACTAGCCCAGCTGCCATCACCACGCATCGTCAACTCTCATATGAAGCTGTGCGACTCTCCAGATGATGTGGCAGCTCTTAAGTGCAAAGTAATCTACACCTTGCGAGACCCAAAGGATGTTATCGTCTCTCTGTACAATCTCCTTTATGACAGGCCCTGGTCCTATGGTAGATATCAGGGGTCACTTGAGGATTATCTTCACCTCTTCTTGGATGGAACAGGTCTTAAACTTTCTCCACCCTTCAAACTGTAGCTAGTTAAAAAATTAATTAATTCATCATGAAAGATGTGTGTTAGTACCAGTTCTCCCTGTTCATAGCAAACAATATACATTTCGTATATGTTGACAACAAAACTACACATCCACATTTAGTGATTTAGGTCCCTTGTTGGATAAAATGTTTGAAGCCTAATCTTGGTGTCCCCAACCTGATATTGTTAGAAGATTGCTAAATGCGGCTTAAACAATAATGCATACACGCGAGAAACAGTTTTAGTTTTGACAACAAAAACACATATATTAATTGAATTTTTTTGTTATGACAAATATTCCAAGGCAATATTATATATGTAGCAAATACAAACACTCAATTATCTCACTCTTATTATCTTAGTTGTTGTTGCTATTTCCATTAACCTTGTGTTTAGAAAGGGTTTTGGATTCTGTTTCAGTGGAAGTTAATGGCATATTTGAACACTGGAGAGACGCCGAGAAATATTTTAGTCAGCATCCCGAAATTCCAGTTCACTTGCAAAGTTACGAAGACGCCATCAAGGTTCGGGGCTTCGTTCCAAAAATGATCCGAGCACTGCGATTGTCGTAACTTCCATACTTTAACAATGCGCTAAGATTGCTGTGTGAAATATGACTGGGAATGAAATTATATACATTTTCATTTGTTCCATGCTATTGTATTTTCCATACATACATGTAAGGAATACCATTTTACTGTTGCCCTCATTAGCGAACTAGTAACGTGATTATCAACATGTGAAGCACAGGATACAATAAGGACATATATGAAGATGCTTGAAATCTGACAGACATTTGCACATTTGTGAATCTATGTATGGTTTATTCTTTGTTTTCTTAGGATCCTGTACGTGCTGTTCAAACTCTGTCCGACTTCCTTGGGCTTCCTAGAGATGACGATCTGTGCCGAGCCATTGCAGAGAAGTGCAACTTTTCCGGAATGAAAATCGACAAGGAGCCTTTCACAGTAAAAATAGATGGTGAAAGCTGTTTGTACAGAAAAGGTAATTTCGTGAACAGTTGCTGCCTTACGAAAATAACTTTTCCTGTGCGATTGATTTAAATCCCTTCAACACTCATTTGCTGAACGTAACAGTTAAAGAGGATATTTTAAATAAGAACTGAATGAAGAAGGTCCTTCAAGGTAAAATGACTGCATGCGTGTTCGTATATCCCCCTTGTATGAAACGACTTCTTATCAGAATGTATGTAACTATACTGAAGAACATAACCGACATTGTGTTTCTCAGGAATCGTTGGTGACTGGAAGAACTGGTTCAACGACCAGATGTTGGAGGACTACTACAGAGTCTACGAAGAAAAGATGGCGGGGTCCAGATTCTATGAGACTTATGCCAGGAGTTAATACTAGTATGTCCACACGTAAATGTTTCTGTTGGAATGGTCATTGTACACACTTATCGGAGACCAATTGACCAAGCTTTATAAGAATTCCATTTGAATACTTAGAATGCAATTCGAGCCCGCATCAAATGATTCTTGCACATTTCTGGTGTATCACCTCTGGAATGCAGCTCGAATGTAGTTCAAGCACAGTAGGAATATTTAGAATGCTGTTAGAATGCAGGCAGAGTATTTAGAATGCACTTCGAATGCCATACGAGTGCGGTGCAATTACTGCCTCAATACCACCCGAAGTCTGGTTGGAAGGTACCTCGAATGCTGTAAGAAATCACCTCGAATGCTGTAAGAAATCACCTCGAATGCAGTCAGAATGCTCCCGGAATGGCCGCCGAATATGGTTCGAACATCCAAGAATTCAAACAGAATGCAGCTCGAATACTTAGAATGTTCTTCGAATTTACTTAGAATGTAACATGAATGTCTCTGGTGTATCAAGAATGCTGGCAGAATGGTCCCCGATAGGGTATAAAATGCGGCCGAATCTAACATTTCCATCAGTCTCAGCCCAGCTATCATAGAGTATGGACCCCCTGGACCTAGTTGCTGTGCTCCAGATTGCAGTCCTCCAGCAAGACCTGCTTGAAAGAGATGTGCAGGAAGCCAGGAGGAGAAGGCCAAGAAGATATCAGACCCGACCGTGGCTGGCAGAGGAGAGGAGGAGGCTGTATAGACCTTACTATACATAGGTCTGATTAGAAGACCCACAGTCCTTCTTCAACTACCTCAGGATTGAGCGTGCCATGTTTGATACGTTGGTGCAAGGGATAGAGAAGCAGGATACCAAGACAGTGCTATCCCCAGGCTTGAAGCTGGCCATCAGTGTGAGGTTACTGGCTTCAGGTGACAAGTACATCAGCCTCATGTACAGTTTGTTGTTTGTTTCTTTGTTGTTTAACGCCGCACTCAGCAATATTCCAGCTATTTGACGGCGGTCTGTTAATAATCGAGTCTGGACCAGGCAATCCAGTGATTAATATCATGAGCATCGATCCACGCAATTGGGATCAATGACATGCATCAACCAAGTCAGCGAGCCGGACCAACAGATCCCGTTTGTCGCCTTTTACGGCAAGCATGGGTTGCTGAAGACCTATTCTACCCCGGAATCTTCACGGGTCCTCATGTGCAGCTTCCTAGTGGCTGATGGTGTTCCTTGCCTAATGTACAACTTCCGTGTGGCAAGCAACACCATCAGCCTCATCATCCCTGAAGTTGACCAAGTCATTGTGGAGGAATACAAGGATGGGGTCACCACCTGCCCCACCACTCCAGACGAATGGACACCTATTGGGGAGGTCTTCAGAAACAGGTGGAATATTTCCTCATGCTGTGGGAGCTCTAGATGACAAGCATGTGGCCATCAGGAAACCTAGCAAGAGCGACTCCTTGTACCAAAACTACAAGGGCTTCTTTTCTGTGGTCCCCATGGCCCTTGTGGAGAATCCTGGCCCAGAGATGGGAAGTCCTCCTCACCACCATGCAACCAAGGACTGCGCAGGACATCATTGAATGTACAATACGGCAGTGTTTGAATTACGTCCAGACTCATTTGAGGGTCAACCGGGACGTTCCGACTGCATTTGAACCGCATTCGAGAGGCAATCGAAAGATTCTGACGGCATTCCAGCTGAATTCTTTTAATATCGAAATAGATTCCGTCAGTAATCGAGATGCATTTGAGGTTCATTCCGGCTCATTTGAGGCGCATTCGGGACATTCTGGGTGGATTTGAAGTGGCTTGGCGTTTCGATTCTCCCTCGAATGCGATCAGAATGTTTCGAATGCTGTTGGATTGTCGTAAGAATATTTAGAATGCAGTCAGAGTGCAGTTAGAATACACTTAGAATGTTGTTGATATTTCTCAACTTCGATTGCACCTCGAATGTTTTGAGCATAAGCAAAACATTCAGGCCGAACACAAGAATGGGCCTGAATATTTTGAATGCACTCAGAATGCAGTCAGAAGTTATAGAATGCACTTTGAATATCCAGGAATAAACTAAGAATTTTCATTCTGACGGCATTCCGGCTTATTCAGCCTCTGATGTGATTAAGGTTTTAACGCCGCACTCAGCATTATTACAGCTATATGAGGGCGGTCTGTAAATAATCCAGTCTGGACCAGACAATCCAGTGATTGACATCATGAGCATCGATCCGCGCAATTGGGATACGATGACATGCATCAACCAAGTCAGCGAGCCTGACCACCCGATCCCGTTAGTCGCCTTTTATGGCAAGCATGGGTTGCTGAAGACCTATTCGTCCCCGGAATCTTCACGGGTCACAAGGGAATAGATAATTATAACCACAACTGAAGTCACCTTAAGTTTTTCCAATTATTTATCTAATACTGATACACTTTTCATTAACAAAGAGCTTTATAGAATCCAAATAGCAATACTTTGTTTGTTCTTGAACAGGAGAACTTTATGAGATTTGACATTTTACATTCAAATTGATTTCTGAAATTCATATTGTAAACTAATGCCAAGGCAATGTAATATTTTACTCAAAATATTTGAAATTTAGAATTTAGTTAGCTCTGGAGGTAAGGGGCGCTAATTCCTATCAGCCACATAAAGACCTTGATGTAGTATAATTTGACAAATACCTCTTTTTCAAACGAATAAACTCCATTGTATAAATTTGAGTGGCTGCGATGACCAGTAAATAGTAGGGAGTACGAGTCCCAAGAGCCAAAACCCCTGATAAATCCCTGATTTTTGAAGTTTTTAATGAATTCCCTGATATTTCCCTGACTGGAATTTTTTCCAACACATTTCCAGTTTTTCCAGTGGCAGTGGGAACCATGTGTGAGGTCTATCACGGATTTGATGCTATCTACAGTTTCGGCCATTTCCAATTTCCTCCACTAGTTATTGGAAACGTTCAGGAAAATATTTCCTTTCTCCCTTAATCCCATCTTTCATGCTTGTAAAACATATACTTAGTGAGATTTTCATATAATCCATACAATTCAGTATGAGGTGCCTACTTACTAAAGGAAAACTGAAGTGAAGCCTAGTTTCACCATTCATATTTTTGTACGTTAACATGTTTTATAGCACTTGTACAAGAAACATATTCTCCTGCAAAAGTAAAAAAGTATTAAGAAACCCGACAGGCACTTTTGGCGTTCGATTTGTAATCTGTAGGTTTGTTCACTGGGACAGGACGTCGATCTTTCTGAAGCATTGTTTTCACACAACAGCCGATAATCCCCAAGCCTACTCGGTCGGACTCGCCTTATTTAAAATTTATTCCGCGAGAGAAGTTTCAGCTCTCGTGACCAACTGCGATAGTAGGCTGTTTTCCCGGGAAGACCTCTGCCTTCTGGCTTCAAACGACTGAAGCATTTATTTTGTAATCTAGGCTTACATACAATTACATGTACATTTACACACACGCACGCACACACATAAATACACACACATAATTGTACTTTACATACATACATGTAATCATACATACAGCCATGCATACCATGCAGACACACAGCCATGTAATCATATGTACATACTGAATAGGAAGCGTGTATAT